CTTAACCCCCAAATCTGCTCTTGACTTATATGTTGTTGCACTGGAGCCCTGAAAGACCTTTTCACCACAAGCCACACTCTGTCCAGGTAATCCAGTAAGTAAAAAGTTTATTAAGAGACGAGTATATAAGAAATAAACAAATCTAAAAAGGAGAATCAAAGGTCAAAAAGTTATTTCCAAGATAGCCAAGATTTCAAAATCCTTTCAAATACAGTCTTAAGAGTCACTGATATACCCTTGGATTCATGATAGCATGAATCCAAGGCAGGCAAGCTATGCTACACATGAAACTAGAAACAGGAACAAACCTAGACACTTGAATACATGAATGCACAAACATAGGACTAGAAACCAAGAGCTGCTCAACTGAATACAATGTTTCAGGATTGTATCAGCAGAAAACCACTTAAAAGGCTTCAATCCCTCCCATGGCATCATTCCTCTCACACCTGCCTTTCTTCTCCTTATCTCTAAGCCACTGGGAAAAGCAAGTCTGTCTCTGCAGTACGCTCTGCCTCTGAAGTTTCAAGTGCCTTGATCTGGACAAATATGCATCTCCAACATTTCTCTCAGCTTGCACTTCTGGCAGATTTCCATGAGAACTGATATTGCTTACAACAGAGACAGACTTGCTTTCCCCAGTGGCTTAGAGATAAAGAGAAGAAAAGCCGGTGTGAGAGAAATGGGAACTGCCAGGAGATTCCAAAACAATTATCTCCAGGCCACTTCTATCCTCTTATTGGCCCTCCGAATCTATCCCACGATCTCCTTTCCTCATCTTCTGAGCACTCAGAATCTGACCAGGCTACAACATATGAGGTTGATCTGTATGAGTATATAGTGGAAACCAACAAATTATTATTATCAGGAGTTGTATCACCTTTAAGAATTGTGTTCCTACACTTCAACCACATTGTACAAAACTGTTCTAATCTGCAAAAGGACTCCAAAGTGCTACAAGATGCCTTTGAATATTTGAGTACTGGAATGTGACATCTAAAACTATGGCATTATGGGAGATGTTTTGCAAATTAGTATAATTAAACCATATTCTGCAAAATGATTCTAATTTGCAAAATGTTTCCCATAATGCGATAGGTTTAGATGCCATGTTCCAGGACTCCAGTTCCATGTTCCAGGACACTCACTGGAACACCTCAGCAAGCGAGAGTCCAAAAGTGGCAGGCTCAAACCCAGAACCTCAACCAATGGCTGATACCCAATGAGAGACTCCCCCCTGGGCACACAGAAGACTGGGCGACTTGGAAGGCACTGAACAGACTGCGCTCTGGCACCACGAGATGCAGAGCCAACCTTCAGAAATGGGGCTACAAAGTGGAATCCTCGGCATGCGAGTGTGGAGAAAAGCAAACCACTGACCACCTGCTGCAATGCAACCTGAGCCCTGCCACATGCACCATGGAGGACCTTCTTGCAGCAACACCGGAAGCACTCCAAGTGGCCAGATACTGGTCAAAGGACATTTAACCAACTACCAAACTCACAAGATGTGTATTTTTCTGTCTGTTTGCTTTGTTCTGTTAGAAATGTAATATATAATGGACTGGTTGCTCTGACACGACAAATAAATAGGACTCCAGTACACAAAGGGATCTTGTAACATTTTGGAGAATAACTATGAGTACGAGGTTGGTAGTCTAAGCCTTCGTGAAAGTTGAGTGCAACTACAGCCAATATGATTGTCTATTGAAGGACTTCTTAAACTTTCTCACTTGTGATCCCTTTTTGTCTGAGAAATTTTTACATGACCCCATATATTTAGATATACAAAACAGATATAAAACCAAGCATTTATAAGAAACAAATGCAAGGCTTGCTAAACAGACTGATTTTTCATTTTATGAAGTACAGCTGAAGCATCTTCAGCAGAGCCCACTGGAAACACTGCACAGCAGATGAGTGTAAATGTCTTAAAACAGCCTCTAGGTCAGCTGGTAAACTGGTTGGGATTTCTGGGAGTTGTAAGCCAAAACACCTGGGGAACCACAGGTTGAGAACCACTACTCTAGATGGTGTTCAGAAGATTTTTATTGTTACGAAATTTTTCAGGACCCCAACAGTGAACTAAGGGAATCCCATTTGAGGTTGGGACCAACAGTTTATTGCACTTCTTGTGTATTTCACATTGATGCTCGCTGAACTTTTCCTTGCACATCACAACACAATAACAAAAGGCATAGTACAACTTATTGTCGAAGGCTTTCATGGCCGGAATCACTGGGTTGTTGTAGGTTTTTCCGGGCTATATGGCCATGTTCTGGAGGCAATTTTTCTCCTGACGTTTCGCCTGCATCTATGGCAAGCATCCTCAGAGGTAGTGAGGTAGTAGTGACCTCACTACCTCTGAGGATGCTTGCCATAGATGCAGGCGAAACATCAGGAGAAAAATTGCCTCCAGAACATGGCCATATAGCCCGGAAAAACCTACAACAACCCATAGTACAACTCTTGTGCAACTCTATGTGCTTCAAAACACATTGTGTTTTCGGTGCAGGAGTTAGGCATAGTCTTTGTTTCCTAAATAACATTCTTTTCACTTTTTTGAGGGCTCCTTTTTCTACTCTCTTGTGCTCCAATTGTAGCTTTTGCTGCAGTCCCAACACAGATGGAAATGGCATTCCTGTGTCAGAAACTGCAATGCTTTCTTTCCTTTTCTATTTTTGCTTGTCTTCATTTGACTTCCCACTGGAGCCAATTTGTGTCACGGAAAATGTCTCCAGATGTACGAAAAGCAACCAATTTCTTGCATCTCGATAAAAGGTCTTGGAAAGAAATATTTCATTTCATTTCACCTTGGCTTTCACTTGGTAACTCAATAATCCCACAGTCCATTGCCGCTACATGGGTGTGGTAGTGGTGGTGGTGGTGGTGTGTGTGTGTGTGTTTGCAGCTAGACTCTGATGCAGTTTTTCTAAAGGCTCCTTATTGGTTTCAGTTACTTTGTTTATAGTAGGGCAGTGGTTCTCAACCTGTGGGTCCCCTAGTGTTTTGGCCTACAACTCCCAGAAATCCCAGCCAGTTTACCAGCTGTTAGGATTTCTGGGAGTTGAAGGCCAAAAACATCTGGGAACCCCAGGTTGAGAACCACTGTAGTAGGGAATCCTGTGCTACCATAAGAACAAAGGGGTTTCTTACAGAATCACAAGGGAATTGTAAGGGCCATTTAAACCACACACCTTCCCCCTTGCCATGTGGTAATACACAATTTAGGGCACTTTCACACAGCCATACAACCCAGAATAACAAGGCAGATAATCCTCAATATCTGTTTTGAACTGGATTATCTGAGTCCACACTGCCATATAATTCAGGTCATTGTGGATTGTATACAACTGTGTGGAAGGGACCTAAGGCACAACCAAACAAAAGTAATCAAACTTCTGTTTAAAGAAGTCCAAAAAAGAGAGTGTCAGCACCCACCAAAGCAGACTTATTGTCAAACAGTTTCCAGTTTCCACAAACAAGGTTTATTTTAACGTTTAGGTAGACTCTCTTTTGTTGCTGTATGCATTCATTGGTTCTGCTCCATATTTGATATGACATCTCTTCAACAAGGTTGTATCATAACTCTCAATCTTTGCTTCTTCAAGCCTGCCCTGTTTCCTAATTTGTTGCTTGTAGGGTTTAGTTTTTTCTAGCAGTCATCTCAATCACTGCTACAAATGGCGTCAGTCTGGATTCTTGAATGGTCTCATGTGTACATTCCAATAGAGAGAGGACAGCTACTGCCGTCTTCTTGGGTGATTGTACGTAATATTATGAGAAGCTTCCTGTAGCCAAAGAATTCATATATGTGGTTTTATTTACCCACACTCAGAAAAAATCATATCTCTGTGAATTTGCCAGGTCTCCCAAAGGATTACACGGTATTTTCACAGCAGTTACAACAGAGTTGGGCAAAAGTATGATAGCTGGGACCCTACGCTGGTTGCGCAATGCGGGTTTGAATTAAGGGGAACACGTGCACGAGACAGTGCAACGAGTGAGAGATGCAGCTGTGTCAGAGTCGTGGCAACATTGTTCACCAGAAAGGGGGAGAGGAAACATTTCTATCCCGTTTACCGTCTTCGTAAGCCGTTGTTTATCATTTGACATTAACTCAAAACATTACTTCACTCTTATCCTGTTGAACATGAGTTCAATTACTTCACTGCTATCCTGTTGCAGCTGCGTCTCTCATTTGCTCCACTGTCTCACACACATCTTCCCTTAATTAATTTTAACCCGCGTTGCACAAGTAGCATAGTGTTGGGTCCCAGCTATCATACTTTTGCCCAGAGTTGCAATGGAGGACCTAGTAAATTACTAGGAGGATACCTCTGTGGCTAGACCTGTTATTTTACCACAGTAAGCAGAACACCCAAGAGCCATCAGTGGTTTGAGCGCTGGACTAGGACACCAAGAAACCAGGAGTCAAATATCCAGTTGACAATAGAAACCCATTGGGTGATCCACACTCTTTCAACCTGAGAAGAAGGAATAGACCAAGCATGGCAAACTTTGGCCTATCGGATGTTAGGAGTTATGGGAATTGAAGTCCAAAACACTTGTAGGGCAAAGTTTTGCACATGCCTGGAACAGACCAAACCCTTATCAACAAATTTTGCCAAGAGGAAGCAGGCTTGTTTTCTGCTGGCCTTGAAAGTAGGACTAGGAGCAATGGGTTCAAATTACAGGAAATGAGATTCCACCTGAACATTAGGAAGAACTTCCTGACCCTAAGAAGAACAGTTTAACAGAGGAACTCTCTGCCTTGGAGAGTGGTGGAAGCTCCTTCCTTGAAGGCTTTTAATGAAAGGCTAGATGGCTATATGTTGGGGGTCCTTTGATTGTGCTTTTCCTGCATGGCCGGAAGGGGTTAGACTAGATGGCCCATGTGGTCTCTTCCAACTCTATTATTCCATGATTCTAGTTGGGTAGGTAGGTATACTACTTTAAATCACTGATAATTTCACTTAATAGTCTCAAAGGTCACTTACCCTGGAAGAACCTCGGATGACCTCAGATAATTGTCGGATGGCATTTGTGCACGTCGTAATGGTTTTGTTGGTCTCTTGTTGTGTTGTGTGCCTTTACAAAGGAAAGAATCAAAAACAAAGGTTAACAATATTTTCAAGGGCCTTCCTTCCATGAAAGTCTGAGATGCTGGTGTTAAAAACCAAGAAAGAAGTGTTATTATCATAAAATCTTATAAGACAGCTCTTTGGCTCATGCAACCTCTCTTGCTTCGTGTATATATATAAAATGTCTGCAAACTCAAAGGCATGGGATTTGAGAGAGTTCAAAAGAGGTCCAGGCTTACAAGGACTTGGGTTCATGGTGACCCTATGAATGAAAGACCTCCAACTCACCATATCTATTATCCTGCTTTGATCAGGGTGGTGACTTCCTTGACTGAGTCATGTCTCCTCATGATTCATGTCTTCTCATGATATGACCACTGTATGACAACCTCGGTTCATTCATCTTAACTTCCAGAGAGAGTCCAGGCTTGATTTGCTCTGAGACCCACTCATTTGTCTTTATAACTGTCAATTATATCTGCAGAACTCTCCTCTGATATTGCCATTCTAATGAATTGGTTTGCTTCTTGGTTTAATACTCATAAATACAAACCAGAAATACTGTGAAATGGATTATTCCAGCTTTGGTATCACCCCTTAGTCTTCTTTCATCAGGCTGAACATGATCAGCTCCTTCAATCTCTTCTCATTTCTTGTGTCCTCCATACCTCTTATCACACTTGTTGCCCTTCGCTGAACCCACTCCATCTTGGTTACAGCTTCCTTAAAATGAGGTGCTCACAACTGAATGTAGTGCTCCACAGGAAGCCTGACAAGTGCCAAATATAGTATATTACTTTGCTGAACTTGGAAACCATGCAGGCTAACGTAACATTCACTTTCATTGCTGCAATATCACACTGTTGGTAAGATATTTACTTTATAATCACCAATAACCCTAAATCCCTTTTTACATGTACCGTTGTCATGCCTTTTCCAGCAAGTTAAGTCATTGCATGATATGTTGAAAGTACACTAGCCGTAGAATAGAATGGGATTATGACTTAATTTACATTGGAAACTATAATTCTACTGAAGGCCAAAAAAACCTGCCTTCTTTGCTGTAGCATCACATTGTTGAGTCAAGTTCAATGTATGATAAACAATAATTCCAAGATTATTTTCTTCTGAGTACTGCTCAGTGAAGTATACTATACTCGATCAGTAATGCAGCTTGGGAAGTACAAGGCATCCCAATCTCTTAGGGCTGTGACACAGCTGTTAAGTAGCCAGCTGCATTAAATCCCTACTGACCGAGAGGTCATGAGTTTGAAGCCAGCCTAGTCCCAAGTAAACTCTCAACTATTAATAGTCTGGCTTGCTGTTGAAATATGCAGCCCAAAAGACAGTTGCATCTCTCAAGTAGGAATTTTAGGTACCACCTTATGCGGGTAGGCTAAATTAACTAATTTATGACATCATAAAACCTTCCAGTAGTGTGTATAAGAATGAGGAAGTACTCCATCAAGGACTCGTTGTCACAAGTTGATGGTGAAGCAACAGCTCCCCCTGTGGCTGGAATTAAGCAAGCCCTCTTGAAGCTGGAAAGCTGGAATGTTAAATTACCTCTGTGTCTGTCTATATGTGCTGTATGTCTAATGGCATTGAATGAGAAGGGTGGAATATAAATACTGTAAGATAGATAGATAGATAAGATAGATAGATAGATAGACAGACAGACAGACAGACAGACAGAAAGACAGACAGACAGACAGACGTATTTGGGTTTTGTGGCTGAAATCTTGACTTTTCCATTTGTTTTCGTTGGATTCAAATAGTTTTGGTCCAATTTTAAAGTCCCTATTTAGATTTTGGAGATCCTATTTTAGATATGGAGCCCCCGGTGGCGCAGTGGGTTAAAGCACTGAGCTGCTGAGCTTGTTGATCGAAAGGTCGCAGGTTTGATTCCGGGGAGCGGCGTGAGCTTCCGCTGTCAGCCCTAGCTTCTGCCAACCTAGCAGTTCGAAAACATGCAAATGTGAGTAGATCAATAGGTACCGCTCCGGCAGGAAGGTAACGGCGCTCCATGCAGTCATGCCGGCCACATGACCTTGGAGGTGTCTACGGATAACGCTGGCTCTTCGGCTTAGAAATGGAGATGAGCACCACACCCCAGAGTCAGACATGACTGGACTGAATGTCCTTTACCTTTACGTATTTAGATTTTAAAAAGACTCTCTGCCTGCACATGAGATAGTTTTTCATTTGCAGGGGGGAAAAAACAAACATAGAAGAACTCCTGGTGACATCTACTTGGACCTGAATGAATGTGTCTCTTTGGATATGTGTTTGGTAGCTTCACCTCTATGTAAAATCTCTGCAGTGTGTCTCCATTTGCAACAGGCTCTACTCTCAAGAGCTTTAAAAAAGCAAACACAGGTAGAACAGCTGCCTGTGATTAAGAAAAAGAAACACACAGCAATTTTATGCACAGTAACCAGCAATCGTATAAATGGGAACTTAGTGTTCCATGAAGGCAACATCTCCACAGCCACAGAGCAATGCCTCCGATGCCTACCACTGAACTGAAAGCAAAAGACAAGACAAGAGGCCATAATTTTGTCTCTCCGAGCCAGTCAAAGCATCCAAGATTAAAAAACACAGAGAACAGGCGGTCTTACAAATGCTTTGTTACATTAAAAGACTTGGCAGTGCGGACTTCATTCAGCTACCACGTAGTGATTTTTGTTCATTGATGTTTCCTATGTTTATAGCACTTGCTGTTTTGAGTGTTGGTCGATTTAATTACTCCGTAAAAAAAGTTTCAAACTGAGTGGAAAGACTCCATCTTTCCAGTACTCCCAGCTACCCAACAGAACTTACCAATACGAAAATAGAAATGATTAATTCATGCAATTCAAACAAAAAATAATGTTTCAAATTGGGTCTGAGCATATTGACACAGAGTTGGATGTACTCACACCTAGCAAAAACATTACAACTTCCAGGATCGTGTAACAAAGAGCTATGACAGTTAAAATGTTATCAAATTGCATTAATTCGACAATGTAATCCAGGTCATCCTAGTGTTAAAGGGATCACTTCACTTCACTTAGGCGATCCCTCGTTAGACGAGTAAGATGGTCTTCCATTATGGGTCTCCTTGTGGGTCCGCATGTGGCTGTGCTCTGCACCTTCTCCCACAGTGTGGGCATTGGTTTCCAGGTGGAAGGCGGTCCCGGTCGGGGTTGGCTTGATGCGCCTTCCTCCTGGCACATTTCTCTCTTTCACCCTCCACTCGTGCCTCCTCTAATTCTGCAGCACTGATGGTCACAGCTGACCTCCAGCTGGAGCGCTCAAGGGCCAGGGCTTCCCAGTTCTCGGTATCTATGCCAGAGTTTTTAAGGTTGGCTTTGATGCCATCTTTAAATCTCTTTTCCTGTCCACCAACGTTCCGTTTTCCGTTCTTAAGTTCAGAGTAGAGCAACTG